TAAAATGAATTGAATAAAATGAATATAATGCATTAAAAATTTTCTTGAACTTTCCCGGAAATATCAGCTGAATTTTTTTTTAATTGAATATATTTCCATATTTATTCGGTTGGAATGAGCATCCTTACCTCTTCCAACGCGAATGCTCATAGAATTATTCTTCAACTGTCCGCACTATCAATTCAAGAAAGTAGTATATTCATTCTCAATGTGAGAATATTTGCCTCCTGGTATGACCTGGATAATGTGCAGTGGTAAATAATGAAATGGGCTGACCTGCGGCAGAAAACCTGCGCGGTATGTTGATGCTCGGTTTGGGAGACACAAGTGATGTCACTGCACGTTGACAAACAGAACGTGGAGGGCATGCTGTGGTGGCAGAATTCAATAAAGATGCTAATTCCTGAATTGTGTACGAGGAAAATACATTAGCAAGGGAAGAAACGAATATTCTTGCCAAGATGTCGGGGAATTAAATTCTGTTGTCCTTTGAATTTTTTTGTGAAGTGGTAAGTACCGCGAAAGGATGAGTCCACCCAGCTTCAGAAAGAGTTTTCGATATTATTTACTTCCCTCCAACCATAATTTTGCTTTTTAAGACGAAGGAAATTACACATAATTTCGGAATTACACATAAAAAATAGGAAAGAGAAGCAATTGAAATTCAAAGACAAGTTGCAATGAATTAATTGGAATTGAAAAGTAATTTGGAAAACTGCAATTTTTTGAAACTAAGAGCATTTTCTATGAATAATTTATAAGCAATCCGTTTTCCACCATAAAATCATTTGATCAATTGTAACAAATTTATTCATATTCAGAATTTTACCAGGAAACGATTTTATGCCTAAAAACGTAACGTTTCCGAATTTTTCAAGAATCTCAATTATTTACTCATAAACAAGGAATGTTAAGAAACAAAATTCTATGCAAAATGTAATTTGAATGATGCTGAATATTCACGATTGTTTTCAAATTTTTCTCACGCAATTTAATTGACAAATTTGATGATTGAAAATGGTTGAATTTGTAGTGCGATCTGTACCAAATTGTAAAAGACAATTGGATTTCGTTAAAATAGTACGAATAAACTCCAGTTGAGTTGTTGAGTGTAACAAGATAAATTCAAAAAGCCAAAGAAACTTATACGTGTTCTCATGAAAGACTTAATTTATCACCCTCGAGTTTTTCCTCAATAGTTCATTATTGTTTGTGTGCCATGGAAATTTTTCTAATTGAGAGTGGGGTAACCTCGGAGGTTGTAGCTGCAGTAAATACAAAAACATCCAAATTTCATAATTTTTTTTTGAGACTGGGATCTGACAAAAATGTGTAAAAATTCTCAATGATGCAGCATACATTGATAGAATGATTTATTTATTCCAAACGAGATTCGTTAACTATTAACGAATGAGCATTTGGTGAGACCGAATAGACCCTAACCTTCAACCAAAATCCATTCGTTAACAATAATTAATCCATTCTATCAGTGCATTTCCCCCATAAATTTTCCATTTTTTTTTTCATTATTGTGACTTTTCACACGAAATACCTGAAGTCAGGAATATTTGCCAATAAGAAGTCTTTCGCTCCAGGGATTGATGATAGCATTACCGATTTCCGAGACAATTAGCTCTCGAATTGATATGAACTCTCTCGATGTTTCAGTCGTAGTTTTCACTCTTCCATCTCCATTTAGTTAATTAATTACAGTTTAGGGCCGTCTGATACGTGATGAAATCGAAGATATTTCATCATTCACAACAAATTCCCATGAATCATCGAATTAAAACAAAAAGTTTCGAATTTTCATAACTGAGCTTGATTACAACCTCGTGAATTTCTCTCGGGGAAATTATCGAACGAAGTATTTTCTGTCAAATTATCTCGCCAATTAAAAATCCATCTTCTCTCCCGAATTGATGATTTTCCACGTAATTCGACATCAATCAAGGTGTTCTATTCAAAACTAATCACAAAGTGGATTCCAGTGGACCATCAGCCAATCTCAATCATCAAATAATTGTCCAATTATCTCGGTAATCATCAAGATCAAGAAAAATCGTCAGATATATATATTTTTTTATGCAATTAAGTCGATTACGAAAAGTGTTTCTCAATATTTTCTCACTTGATCGGCCGTTTCCTACATATCGCGTGCTTGGAATCAAACGTTCGGAAGTTGGAGAAAAAAATTGTGATTTGTGACCTTTCGGTCTTAAAGATATCTTTTAAGGTTTGGAGTCAAATTCCAAAAATTAACCTACTTAACTCGTAATTGTTATTTCACACATTTTTTTAAACATTTTGAAAAAAAAACCTCTGTACACGGAAAAAATATACTTGAATCAAGTATATTTTATACTCGAATGGAGGATGGGTGTTTCAAGTCGAGGATGATTATTTCGTATCAGCCCGGGTTGTACCAAGCGCTCTCAAGTATAATATAAGGGTCAGACACTGAGTGTGAGAATATAAGAGTCAAAAAGTGGAGGTTAAAAAATGAGGGTCGGAATATTAGAGTCAAAAACTGAGGGCCTGAATGTAAAGGTGAAGGAATGAGGGTCAGAATGTTAGGGTTAAAAAAAGAGGGTCAGAATATTAGGATCAAAAAATTAGGGTCAGAATATAAAAGTAAAAAAGTGGGTGTCAGGTAATGAGAAAATCACCGAACAAGTTAAGTAATTGTGGAGCCAACTCGACTTTCAGTACTTTTTCATCTTAAATAGGAGAAAAAGTGCGAAATTAATAGCTAAACGAAAATTTAACGAATGCTTGTCGAATGAAATTGAATTATTAATTAACTATTTGTTGAAATTCACCAAATAATTTTCTCCGTGTAAATTATCCATTAAAAACCAGTTATTTTTTCACTGAATTACATTTCACTCCTCGATTACCATTCGTATAGTAAAATTTGTCACCATTTTATAGGTAATTTTTATCCAACTTTTCTCTCTGTGTATGGGAAATCTCATTTCAATAGTCCGCGACATTAAAAACTCATAAAAAGTATAGTCTCTCCTTAATTTAGTAAATTAAGTAGATTTTTGGTACTTAATTTCGTGCATTTTTCTCCTGACATCAGACAAACTGTCTCGGTATTTTCCAAGATACAGATAGAAAACTTCTCATTCCATAAAAACAATTGATTCATTATTAATTCCCCTAATCACATGCTTGCGGACAACATCACTCATAACGCCGCTGGGGCAAAACGGGTGATCTTGTGTTTGTATTTTGCACGAAATGCTCCGCAAAATTCTCGAGACATTCATCATCTTCGCGGAATGCAACTCGACCTGAGAATAATTATTCGTCCATGAATCATCAAAAAATGATTACAACTTCATCAGACGCATCATCAACTGCATTCGCCAGTCCAACCGTAATGCAAAGGTCGTTACGCTCGAGGAGAACCTCGTGCCTACGTGACTCGCATCATCCCTTCCCACCCCCACACGTGGACCCCTGAATTCCGGTGACATCGATGCGCGTCGAGGCGACAAAACGCTGCGATTTTCATGCAACAGATGAAAACACCTGATCTATCATCCACCTTTTTTCGATCTATCCGCGTGAAACGGACGTCCGGAGGACATTGTCTGCATTTCGCGACCCAAATACCTCCTTATGTATGCATATCGGTAGTGGATTAATAGCGTAAGATCGCTGTTATGTGGACGAAAAAATAACTACATCAACACTTGATTTTCTAAATTACACAGTTGTGGTGGAAGTGGATCAGTTCACCTGTCTCTCGATACTGAGCGCAGGAAAATCGGCCGTCAGGTACCTCGAGCCGACATAACTTATCATTTTAATTGTTGAATATCTCGGTAATTAGTGGTGCTGGTAGAAATTATCGGGAGACAGGTAAGAGAGCATTTTTTGAGCTGAAGGTGCCTTGACAATTCCATGTTATTTTAGAATATAGAAAGATGGTTGGAAGTGTCCAAAATGTCTTTTGAGAATTCCAGATAATTTAACAATGGCCAGAGGCCATTGCAATTGTCAAAAGTGTCCTTTGCAATTTGCATATATTTTATCAATTTCAAAAAATTATTAGAATTGTTAGAATTGAACGGCTTTTAACATTTTCACATAATTTGACAATGTCAAAAAATCATTGAAATTGTCAAAATTGTGTTTTAACAATTCCAGATATATTAGCAATGTCAAAAGACTGTCGCAATTCCCAAAAGTATCTATTAAATTTCAATACAATGTAACAATGTCAAAGGACCGTTGGAATTATCAAAAATGTCTTGCCAATTCCAGATAATTTAGCAATGTCAAAAGACCATTGCAATTCCCGAAAATATCTTTTGAAATTTGCATATAATTTAACATTTTCAAAAGACCATTGCAATTGTTAACAATATCTTTAAATTTCCGTATAATTTAACAGCATCAAACGACTATTGGAATTTCCAAAAATGTCTTTTAACAATTTCAGATACTTTAACGAAAATGGTCGAAAGACCATTGCAATTTCTAAAAATGTCTTTTAAAATTTACATATAATTTAACAAGGCCAAAAAATCGTTGAAATTGTCAAAATATTTTTTAACATTTCCATATAATTTAGCAATGTCTAAAGACCATTGCAATTCCCAAAAATGTCTTTTGAAATTTCGATATAATTTAACAATCTCAAAAAATCATTGGAGTTGTCAAAATGTCTTTTAACATTTCCATCTAATTTAACAGTATCGAAAACTCATTACAATTTCCAAAATCATCTTTTGAAATTTTGCATCTACTTAAACAACGCCGAAAAATCATTAAAGTTATTAACATCTTTGTAAACATTTCCATACAATTTAACAACGTTAAAAAACCATTTCTTCGCCCAGAAAATTCTCTAAAAAACATCTCTTGAAAATGTCCCCTTCAAAATTCCAAGCTCATTGCGAAATTGAAGAAAAGAAATTATTCCTCCGACCCGTCCCCCCCCTTCGAATAATCACGAAAAAAATGTTCCATAAAATACTTACACCATCGTCTGAGAAATCCCCCTTGAAGTTTAGCGCAAATTCCCCGATTAACCCTCATCTTTGGATTGAATTGGTCACTGTCCTTATGTTAATAAATCATTAATTTAAAAAGAGTCGGTATTCCTCATCAACTTCTTCGTCCTCTTTTCACTTTCATTCAGACAATCACCACAACGTAAACTAATGAGACTCGGGGAATAACAGACTTTGGAAACGTGAATTTGTTTTTTTCATAGAATTTAAACAGAATGAAAATTGTTTTGTGGTTACGATAACCGAAGTTGGCTGATCGTTTCTTCAGCGACACGGAGGTGAAAGTCGACGCCAAGTATGCCGTGTTTTAATGTTGGGATGACGAGGAATCGAACTGTTGAGCTTTACGTTACGTTTGTGTGGGAATAAATTATAAAAATTCCTTTCTTTATTCCTCAGCGGGATTAGTCAGTGGTAATTAAGTGTCACTTTTCACTCGTTTTTGGTATTATTATTCGTTCGTTTGAGTCTGTTATTGCTGTCAAATCATCGTAGAGACAATTTGATTATTTTAATCCGGGGGATTAAGTGCTCGGACTGGAGGAATGCAATTTAATTTGGATTTTCGACGATTTTAGAGCCAAAGTCGACAGTTGAACGTCGACTTGAAGTCGTGCTTTGGAGAGACACGATCGTCCCGATGTCGGCCCGGACACTAAAGGTGGCTATGGCCTGCCAAGAGAGCCACGGTGCGGGCCTGAGCCTCAGGTGAACGATTTATTATTGCCCCCACCTGCGACAACAAACCGAGACCTCCACCTTCTCTTTTTCCAATCCGAGGTTTATCCCTCCTTCGATATTCACCATTTTTCACAAGTGGTTTTGGTGGACAATCCTGTCGTGGCCACTGCGTTGACTAATGTGGGTTTTTTTTTATTTCTGGGTGTGTAGGTTTATTCCATCGACTTGAGTCGTTTTCGGTTTCACTCGAGGTTCATCCCTTCTTGATAGGATGAACCAATCAGTATTCGAGCCAGACCAGTAATCGAACTAATTGGTACTTTTTCTATAAAATAAATTAGTAGAAGGTAGAGATGCCTCGCATTATACATGAAAAATAAAATTATGACATTTCCAAATGATATTGTGATGATTGAAAATGTCTAAGTTACCTTATTACCAGCGGAAAAAACTCGATGTTTTCGATGACACGCCGCCAATAGCAGATTCCCAGTACAGAATACGCATTTCGATTACTGGGTTTTCACACATTTTAGGCTTTTTGTATTCATATCATTAATTGTATCGTCAATTAATATCCATAATATTTTTTGCTATTATCTATGGAGATGTACAGGGGAGTTATAATTATTTTTAAATCGATTTTCGACTTGGTTATATTTTTAAATCTACGTCAAAAATAACTGTGACCTTATTCGTTCGAACACTGGACGATTCACCCTATTGCCCATTTTTACTTCCGAATGGAGGCTTTGTGATCGTTGCAATTTACGTTTCGGATTTTTTTAGTTATACCGGCCCAGCGCGATAAAAAAAGTGCGAAAATGCGATTTTTAGACCTTTTTTTTCGTAACAAAGTTTTTTTTCAATTGTTCGCTAATAAATGGATGGAATTCAGTAGCGAAGTGGTAAACCGGTTTACGTCGACTTATCTCTCAGCTGAGTTTTTGGGGAATATTTCCGAATCTAAGGGAGATAGCGAAATTTTCGTAATAACATTTGTTGTAGCACTCAATCGGCTCGATACAAAAGGTTATAACAACAATTTTGCTATCTCCCTTAGATTCCGAGATATTCATTGAAAACTGGTTACTAGTCAAAATTGACTTGTACCGTTTTACCACTTCGCTACTGAATTGAATCTTTTTTTATTTAATGTAGGTATTGTTGAGCCCTATCGATCGCCACTAATTAAAATTTAATGTATCAATTCGTTTTTTTAATTTTCGAATTTTTTCCAAAACCGGTTGTCCCACGATAACTAGAAAATTTTTCTGAATTCAGCACGCGAAATAATTAATCAATAATCAATTTTCCACTCTGGGAATCATTTCCCAGACTGTCTTCATTCGTCAAAAATCTATTTATATTCAGAATCATCTCAGAAGTCGATCTCACATTAAACTAATTTCTGTTATTTATTCATAAAAAAATATTTTAAAAAAACTAATATGTTGCGAGAAGAGATTTGCATGAAATTTATCTGAGACAATTGACTTGAGTAATTGGTTCATAAAAAATCTTCAAATGTGTATTTTCGCCAATATTTTTCATATTCCACGATTTTATTCAATTGGAAAATTGTGTCGTTACGAATTTTCGAGTAGATTTCGGATCAGTGATAGGTATATCAATCAATCATAATTACCGTTAAATTGTGAAGTTGTCAATTTTCAACATAAATCATAAAAAATTTAAATATTAAAGTAGCCATCAACTTGTCCATTTAAATTTCGAAATATTCTATCCCCGAATAATTTATGTAGGAAGATTGACGATTATTTGGATAATCGAAAATCAAGTACCTAAAGTTAGAATTAGCTTGTTACCTAAAAAATTACATTTCAGGATTATCAAATATTTTATTCGCCATCAATCAAAAAATTTAGCTAATAAATTCTATAATATTTTCAATTTGTTAAATATAGTTAAACTTTGAACAAGATAAGTAGACAATCCCTTTTTAATATTGTCAAAATCTAATATTATTGCCTATCGCTGTTTCGGATGATATTTCTCCGACTTCCTCGATGTATTCGAAATTGTCACCTGAGTTCGGTTTCCTCGGGTTTGTTTTGATGCCTCGCATTTCAAGGTTCGAATCATCCTCTCAAAACAAATTTATTCGGACGATCGAAGCAATGAAATCGCGCAGTTATTGCCTTGGAACAGCAGACAAATAGTTTTTCTTTCGGTTGTTTTGATTTTTTTTTATTTTACGCTTTCTCAACCCCTCTATCGGGTTATAAGCACAACAAAGAATAATTGAGAGAAAAAGAAAAATAATATAGAGTAAGTACATCATTTTAGAGCATATGTACATGTATGTTGAATTTTGCTTAAATGTTAATTTCATTTTTAACAAGAAATTGGAAAATAATTAATAATGCTTGAACATGAATGTCAGCTAGAAATGGGTTGTTTTGATTTGCCCTGCATTTTACAATAGTCGTTAGGTTTTATTGCAGAGTACGGGGGCTTCTGTCGTTTTACGATGGCAATTCTCACGGATATATGACAAACATCCACAGCCATTGTGTGCATGGTTATCTATGTCGTGCTAATTGAACGGTGGAGGCGTTCGGGGTATTTAATGAAACGATGGGGAACGGACAGTCGGCTGACACGCGATTGCTGTCACGAGCGTTGGGTGATGATATCGAGTCATCGGTGGAGAAAAGTGTAGAGTTGCAACAAGTGAAATGTTTAACTGGGTCTCTGTAACGGGGTCATTAGCCTAGAACTTGGGAGATGAATGAAGAGTCTGAGTTATCAATTTTTTATGCTGACGAAAAGAGAATTGCAGTGACTTGGAATACATAAAGATGCGGTGTATGACGAGGAGAGCAGAAAATATTTGATTATTCGTGCATTAATTATTTTGTTCTGGAAAAAATGATTTTCTCATTCAAGTAGGAAGGATATGATCCAATTAATCCGACTTTCGACTCATTTCGAGTATATACGGGGAGAAAAAATATATCTGAATTGAGGATGAAGTATACTTGATTCAAGTATATTTTATACTCAATTGGGGAATGGGTATTTCCATTCGAAGATGATAATTTTGTATCAAGCCGAGTCGTAGCAAGAGAGCCTCTTAAGGATGTTTAGCCATTTTCACCTAATTTTATTTTTTCATGTTCAAGAAAAATACTCACACGTGTCCGGTGAATCTGTTGAAATTTTCTGTGAAAAAATCTACTAAATCTTCCGGCCCTTCACCACTGCAAAGATATTTCGACAGCAATATTTAAATGAGTTTTGTGTTTATGTCCATTCGGAAGATTACCTGATTTACGGTGAATAGAGTAGGTATTCTCGCTGTATATCTCTTTGCTTCTGATAGTCCCGAGAAGTGCCGGCACTAGAAATTTTATTGGGCAAAACGTCAATTTTTCCCCGTATTTCTGTGAAAATTTCACAGAAATTCCCAGAAATTTTACCAGAAATACCAAGAAATTTTACCTTAACAGCACTAGAATTTTTTACAGCCGGTGGATTATGATTTTTTCCAGTACTCGTACTAAAATTTTTCTAGGAAATTTTTCTCCGTGAATAATCAATATTTTTCTATTTTTCTTTTTTCAAAATTTTTGTCTAATCGCCATCTTTTTGAAAAATAAATGAGACAAAAGTCCCCGGCATCGACATTTCTGCTCAAATGAGAATTTATTTGAGTTCTGTGAAGCGCAAACATTCTGAAATTCAAGCCATATTTACTTCTCTCAAATAAATATCGTCTGCATATGAGGAAATTTTTCTCTCACTGTAACAATACGAAACAGCTTATTACACTTTCCATTTAATTATACGAAACTAGCAATTAGCTAAATTTTTGTCTTCCATTCCGCAGTCAATTTGTATAAAAATGTAAGTACCAGGCTGCAGCCCCTTGGGCGATGGCCAGTCGCAAGCTTCTTTCGACGAATTCCGTTAAAAATAAAAACCCCTATCGACTCTTCCGTATCACTCCTCGCCATGGATAATACTATCAAAGTACACAACAATCACCGCTTCCCCGGTATCTCCATTCTCCATGTTCCAAAGGTGTCCCGGTGCCTCGAAAATGACGATAATTCGCCGTTTTATTTGTTTTCCTTTTCTCGAGTATGTGCTTGTGAGCCTCAATGACCAGTCATCAATGAACATAATACAAAATCCACGAATGGGATGTGCACTGTTGTTGTGCACCGCCTAGCTTTCATCGGCGTATGTGACGTAACTTCCGGCCACAAGCTAGGAAAAACTCTCACTGAGTCGTAAGCCGTCGCAGAAAAAATTTTAAACGTCAAATTTTGGTTTTATAGTTTACATTTTTTTTACAAGTTATTGCATACGTTACGCAGCACTCATTACATAATTTCTGTTGATATTTTTATGCCATTCGAAGTACAATGACCCATATAGTTACGATTTTTTTGCTTTTGTGTCCGAGTGGAGGCTATGGAGTTGGGATTTTTTTCGATTTCCTAATTTTGGGTGGAAATGTCTAGAAATGTCACGAAACAAAAAGAAATGATAGACATGTTATGAAGGAGCGATGCTATGTGCTATATGCTATAGATGTATGACCGTATTAAGGCCGAATAATCAATTGAGAAGAAAATTGAACGGCTGAATAGAAATTTGAAGAAAAAGAAATCAGTAGCGAAGTGGTCGAACAGTTTAAGTCGATTTTGGCTATTGGCCAGTTTTCAATGAATATTTCGAAATCTAAGGGAGATAGCAAAATTTTTCTCATAACCTTTTTTGTAGGGCGAATTGAGTGCTACTAAAACGGTTATAATACAAATTTCGCTATCTCCCTTCAATTCGGAAATATTCCTGGAAAATTCAACTAAAAACTAAATTGACTCACTGAGTGAAAAATAAAATTCTTCTGACTATATTCCATCACCGTCGAATTATCGTCAAAAAGTCCTCAACAATTTTTCATGGCTTACGGTAACTATGGCCGGAGAAGTAATTACTACAATGGAATGTAGTCA